TATAGAATCTTGAATTATATAAGACTCAATAATAAGAATAACTCTCTTATTAATCTTAAGTGGATTGGCAGCTGAAGATATGTAGAGATATGCAAAGATACAAAGAGTCTTGTGAAGCTACAATGAAGATATGTGCAACTTCTAGGATACCAATTGTTGGTTCGAGTGATAGTAATCATAGAGGTGACTCGGATGATGGCAAGATCGTGGCAAGCACTGAAGACGCAAGGCAAGCTATATGGTTGTGGGGTTTGCTTGAAAAAATCAAGACAATGTTATATGAGAAAATTGTCATAAGAGAATGTGTTAAAGATGGATTAAGTGAAGTTGAGCATGAAGAAACGAGGGAGCTTATTCAAGAATTGTCAAAGATGGAATTCAAGCTTAAGGGGGAGAATGTTGGATTAAGCTTGAAGAAAAAAGAAAACTTGAGAAATAAGTTAAAAGACCTATTCCTGCCGAGTTATGGTTTAAAGGATTAGGAAATATTCAAATATGTTAAACCTAAAGAGTTTAGGAAATATCTCTATAATATTATTTGAGAAGTTAGTTTCCTATGTGTCGCTCTCACATTTATTCTCACGATGGTTGATTACATTGATATCCTTAATGAATTAAAAATAGTTGAAATAGTATTATTAATTTTTTTATTTTTAGTTTTTCCTTTTCAAAAATTTCCAAAAAGATATGTAATAAAAAGGCATTTTTTATAAAGTAGTAAAAACAAATTTAAAACGAAAATATATGTATATATAATATGATTTTATAAAAAAAGAAAGTTGACAAAATAGTAATAATACATTTAAAAATATTTTTAAATAACATAAAAATATCTATATATAATATAATTTTATAAAAAAGGAAAGTTCACAAAATAGTAATAATACATTTAAAAATATTTTTAAATAACATAAAATATACTTTTAGAGTAATAAAATAGTTTATAATTAGTATTATTGAATTTTTATTTATTTTTCATATATTTAGTTGACTATAATATCTTTCAATTATAGAAAATTATCTAGAACTTATATTTTACTTATATAATATTATTTTCAAATACAATCACAATTTTGTGTAGTGCTTATTTTTAAGAGATATTAAAAAAGTAAAAATATTTAACAATAAACATCGTTTGGTCAAAATAATTGTTCTAATGAGCTAGATATATGATATTTTATCATTATTAAAATTATTTATTTTATTAATATAATTGTTTTAAATTTTATGTTTTATGTTTGTGAAACTAAATATAACCATAATCAAAATATCAAAGCAAATCTGAATTCTCAATTTAAGATTATTTAAAATAAATTTCAGTTTACATTCAATAAATCTAAAGCATAAAATTATTTAGAATTTATAAATGCATGTAATCTTTTATTGATCATATGATAACTGAAAACATATTAACAAATAAAAATAAATACTAACCAACTCTTACAATTTTAGTTCTTTTGTAAAATTTATATATATCCATGAGAATTTAGAATATTTACGTTTATATTAATTTACGTATTTTGGAATCAGACACTTTAGTTAATTTTTAATTCATTCTAAGCACAATATATCTTAAGTTATACATAATTTTCCTAAAATATATTTACATATCTAAGACAACACCCACCATATAGAAATAAGTAACTAATTAAAAATTAGTATATTTTAACAATATTCAAGTTGAATTGAGAGATGCAATTCAATTTATCCAAATGATAACTAAACCAACCGTAAAACAACAAAATTGACTAGATATAACATATATAAAATTACAGTATAAGTAAAGTAATATAATACTATTAATATAAATAATGCATACAAATTATAAATTAATTTAAAATTAAAAGTAAATATTAATCAATTATTATTATATATTTAATTTAAAAATATTTATATCCGTGCATGAGCACGGAAAAATCACCTAGTTGAGTTATATATAAGGAGATGCAAGTATGTTGCATAACTTATGAGATGAGAGATGAGTCTTTGTGATTGTGTAAGAGCTTAAGGTTTTTGAGTGAGTTTTCCTTAAAGGAATTTATGAGTTGAGTTCTTGAGTTTTGAATGATTTTCTCAAGAGATTAATAAGAAAGTTATTCTTATTATTGAGTCTTATACAATTCAAGATTCTATAAAACCTATTAGGATACTTTGATTAAAATGCTTAAGGATACATGAAGATTAGTCTCCGTTCAATTCAAAGTTAGACTATTATAGTAACCTTGAAGATTCTTTTGACAAAAAAAAAATAAAAAAATCAAAAGCTGTGTAATACATTCCCACCGAAGTAAACAATGTTTTGAAGGTTTAGAGTTTAGGAAAAACAGATTGAAGCACTCTAGAAGGACGCAGCAGTGTGAATTCGTATCTTTTGATATAGAAAGAGACAGAGGAAATCTCTTACCATTATTATACAGCATCACCAAATTTGGCTTTGCTTATGTCCAAATCTGTCTCTATCCTTTTTTTTCTTTACCTTACGGTGGTCGTACAAAAATTCAAAAACAACTGTATGCGCAATTAATGACCGATTGCTTCCTTCACCTACTCTCTCTCTCTCTCTCTCCTCTCTGTAAGTAAATAAGCCTCTTGCTGGATCCCATCTAGGGGCAGGCTTTGACTTTCTCGGAAACATGCCATTTTCTCCTGATTCTCTTTGAATTCTAAACTGCAATTCAGCTTTTGGGTTAAGTTCGATTCTTGACTTGGAAGAGATGGGTAACAAGATCATGTCCATGATGAAGAAAGACAGCAAAGATGGATCTAAGAGCAAGAGGATGAATCGTTCTCAGAGAAAACTGCTTGCTGATGAAGAGATGTTGCATCGTCGAGCTCTGTCCATGGCCATTCATCAAACTCAGCTTTCTCAGAGATTCGACGGATCCATGTCTAGACGGGTCGGGTCTACAAGCACCCGGAAACAACGTACCCTCTCTGACCCTTTTTCTAATGGCAAGCAGGTTCTCACTCCTCCCCCGCAAAGTGTGTGTGAATCATCTTTTCTTGACAAGTTCAAATCTTTTACTCATTTTATATGATGTAAAGATTATTTCGACTGGGTCTTTTGCCTTTTTGGTTTAATGATTGTTGGGAACTTTTTTTTCCTCTCTCTCTCTCTCTCTATATATATATATATATATGAAAAGAAAAGGTCATAACGAAAGTGGAGAAGATAAGATTCTTTTGTTAAAATTGGAAAAGAGATATTGAAAGTGCTCAGAGATTCCTTACTTATCTGTTGGAATTGTTAATTTATCCAGAAAACAAATGTTCTTTACTCTGAAACTGACATTGGATTGGGACCAGATGAGCTATAAAGCCTATGAGCTATGTTATTGTCTGAAGAACTTTTGTTTCTCCTCTTGTTTCTAAAGGTCCTGTAAGAATTTTGCTTGTCTGTTACTTTACAATTTATGCTGTTATGACTAGAAGAATGAGTTAGAGGAGAAGCTCCTGATGCTCTGACACAACTGTAATTGCACTAGTGACTGATGATTGTTCATATTCACACATTGCCATTGCTATATAGTATATAGATTGATGTTGTTACTTCTCTGGAATTGTTTTAAGATGTTATGACAATGAATGATTATAGAAGCTTAGTTTTGAGTCATGTATCTTACTTTCCTTCTTTCTTCAGGTACCAGATTTTTCATCAGAGAGCCTGACAGTGAAGAAATTTGTCCTGGTGCACGGTGAAGGCTTTGGGGCATGGTGTTGGTACAAAATTGTTGCTTCATTGGAAGAGTCAGGACTGTCTCCTATTACAGTCGACCTCACTGGATCTGGATTTAATATGACAGACACAAACACAGTCTCTACGTTGGAGGAATACTCAAAACCATTGATTGAGTACCTCAAAAATCTCCCTGAAGAAGAGAAGGTTAGACTTTACTCTCTTTGTTTGAATGAACATTCAAAGCCTTTTTGATTTGGGAGAATGAGAGATACGAGTTTGTTGTTATATGCAGGTTATTCTGGTTGGTCACAGTACTGGAGGTGCGTCCATTTCTTACGCTTTAGAGCAGTTTCCAGAGAAAATTTCCAAAGCTATATTCGTATGTGCAACCATGGTTTCTGATGGCCAAAGACCCTTTGATGTTTTCTCTGAAGAGGTAAACAATAAACACTCTTGTAGCTCATATCTATCATCCATTATAGAAAACGTCATCTAGTCTTTGTTTCTGTTGATTGTGAGAAACTGTCTACACTGCTGCAGCTTGGTTCTGCAGAGAGGTTCATGAAAGAGTCGCAGTTCTTGATTTATGGCAACGGAAAAGATGAGCCTCCTACAGGGTTCATGTTCGAGAAACAACACATGAAAGGCTTGTATTTCAATCAATCACCCAACAAGGTATACCATTAACACTGAGTTAGCGTCTTGAATTGATAATCACTAACCAAAATATTCACCTCTTGAATTGATTCTGGATTATGGTTTTCAGGATATAGCATTGGCAATGATGTCTATGCGACCTGTACCACTTGGACCAATGATGGAGAAGGTAACACTGACGGCAGAAAGATATGGTAAAGGGAGAAGATTCTATGTTCAGACACTAGAGGACCTTGCACTCTCACCAGACGTTCAAGAGAAGCTAGTGAGAGAGAACAGCCCTGAAGGTGTCTACAAGATCAAAGGAAGTGATCATTCTCCTTTCTTCTCAAAACCTCAGTCTCTCCACAAAATCCTTCTCGAGATTGCACAGATTCCTTAAGAAGATCTGAGACTTCTTTGGAGAGGATATTGAACATATTCTGAACTGAGAATACTTTTTTTTTTTCTCTTTGATATCTCATTCAAGTTATAACCTTTTGTATACATTTTTGGAATCGATAACACTTGAAGATAAACTGGTTGAATAGACAAAGGGCCCTGTATTAAAGATCTGTAGAGATGCATATACAGGAAGAAAGAATAAACAGAAAGATGAAGATTTAACACAAGGATTCAGAGACAAGATCATATCTATATATAACACCAACGCTCTTTTATTATATTATTCCAAGTCGAGAATGCCGAAATTGGAGAGAAGGATTTTAACTTGGTCGACAAGGTCTGAGCCTGTTGCATACTCTGTCAGCATCCCCACCGCAAAACCAAACATAGCCCACCTGCAAAACAACACACAGAGAGGGAGTATCTTATGTCCAGAGAAGTGTCAACTAATTCTTGAATCAACCATGTTTTTGTTGTGTGTGTGCTCAATGCTCACTAGTAAGAAATGGATGGGCATTTAAACATCCATAGTTATAAACTTATTAATTGTTAGAAAGTTGCAGACTCTCATGAGTTTTCAATCATGAGACAGGCAAGAGGCAAAACAATTATAACAAAACTCATCAAGTTTGAAACTTTAAGCTTTGTATGTCTGAATTTAAAGGTTATGACACAAACTTGAAACCAGAACGACCCTCAAATGAATGTATGAATGAAACACTCCTTAGAGTCCTAGAGTAACAATATCCAAGAAGAAAACTTGTAATCCAGCTATATATATATATTATATGTTCAAGAAGCATCCATCAATAGAAAATCGAGAATTGACAAGTAAAAGGAAGTACCTTCCATTGGAGATCTCGTTTTTGGGCTGGAAACCAAAGAAGGGACCTTGACCAGCAGCTTCAAGCTTCTTCTGCTTAAAGTAATCCTGAAGCTCTTTAGCTTTCTGCCTCTGAAACTCCACCGTAGTTACACTTTTACCATCAACAGCCACAGGTTTCTGCGGTGGAGGTGGAGGAAGAGAAGAAGGCGTAGGAGGAACAGGTTTTTGTGGAGGTGAAGGCTCCCGGAGAGTAGGAGGAGCCGAGGGCCTTCTCAAGGGACCTTCCGCCTGAGAACATCTGATGATGGATACACATGGCTTACTCGTTGAGAATCTCAAAGACGACGAAGTTGTCAAAGATGAAGATGAAGATGAAGATAATGGATTTAGAATCCTGATACATTGAATAGGCGAAGCTACTGACATCTCTTGTTAATGGCTTTCGAATTGTCTGAAAATTATCAGGTTGTGTTCTAATGGTTCTCTAGTGTCTTTTGGTAATGTGTATGTGGATGTAATATGGCCAAGTCTCATCATTTTGCACAAATGGATCTCGTCAATTGGTGCTTTGGAATCATCTTACGCGCGTAGCTAGCGCGTGGAGCATAATCAAACCATTGATTTACTGAAACTAAATTCTTTTTAAGTTATATAAGCACAAACTGAAAAGGGTAAGCATATTTCACGTCAAAAAGTTGTGGTGTGGATTTATCATTACAAGACAGGGTATAAAAATATAAGAGAGATGGTTGTACATTGAATAATCTCTCTAAAACAGCGCAGAAATTGACAAATCATCAAGTGGCTACAAAAGGTACAACACACTCCAGAAGTTCCTCTTCTTATCCAAATCTTTTATGCAAACTAACGCATCTCTTTCTCTCTCTCTATTTATATGTCAAAGGTCACATGATAAGAGAGGACAAGAACTTGGCGAGCTATCTACCTCAGCTACATGAGCTGCGTTTGAAAGCCCTTTTTTCTGAACACATTTCTTCAGCTTTTGCTTGTTATGAGTTTACATGTTGGTCAATGCATCAAGGGAGAAGCTGGTTACATTATTGTGCACATACAGCTTTTTCTATTTCCATGATGCAACTCATCATCCGATACATCCACCTCACTGCACATTCAACCAGATCATAATTTTTTCAACTTGATCACCAAAATGAAATCTCAAAAAGAGCAATGTTGGTACTTGGTATGACAGCAAGAAGAGAAAGACAAACGTGAATGATTAAGAACAAAACAAACTATTGTGTCAAGGGTATAAATATCACTAGTCTACAACTCTTCATTGAGTAGTATCTATTCAAGAATGAATAAGTTGAACATCTTTTATGTTCTATTAAACTGCTGCTAAATCATGATTTAGAGTGTTATGACTATCAAACCTCCTATCTATAAGTCTACATGGAAGAATGTAGTAAATCATGATAAATGATGTTCCCGACCTATCTTATTTTTTAAATCAGTGTTTTTTTTTTCTTTCCTCTGTGAGATGCATCTGCATCTATGGAGTACCGGTTACCCCCTACTCTTAACATACCCCAAAACCGACATCTATTAGATACACGTGCAACACAAATGTTTTAAGGAATTAAAATTCATAATAAAAAAACCAATTTGTCACATACCTAGGCTCAAATTCTCTGACCTCAGCAATCTCAATACCACAAGTGTCAAGCCACTGCACTTTCCTTCTCTCAGCATGATCCAACACGCCATCATCAGCATCAACAAAATCGCTAAATGATCTTTTCTTCAAGCTGCTCTTAAGTGCAAATCTAGTACTGACTTCACTATCATATTCAACACTTGGTGGTGCATGAACCGAAGAGTCAGAAGGAGAATCTTGTGGCTGAGGACTTTCGGATTTGCGACCAAGGCAAATAAGGGAAGTGCAGCGACGTGAGAGCCATTTCTTAGAGGAATCTTTGGTATCAGTTTTTTCGGCTACCAAATGATAATGGCTCCAAGGTGATACCCTTACAGGTTTTTGTTCATTCTTACGGCCTAAAAGAAGGGCGAAAGCGTTGGTATAGCCAGAAGCTGATGAAGAGAAGAATCCTCCTCCTTCTGCTGCAAACAACATCAGTGGATAACGCTCATTTGCACATCCAAGACCAGTTTTTTTGTTTGTGTGTGTGGGACACTCTAATCACTAAACAAAGGAGTTCATACACAAAGCACGTCAGTTTAAGTAACTAGGAAGAAAACAATACGAAAATATAAAAACAAAAGCTGTATCATTTTTTCATTGTTCTCTGATTTGGCTTGAAAAGTTTGACTAATAGAATTCAACAAAAATTACAAACGATTTCTTGAATGAGCATCCAGCTATGAAACCCCCTCTAAAATACTTGCTAGTGAGTTCCATATCCGTTCACCTTCAGATTTAGTGGAAAAAGAAAAGAGAGACACCATAAGGTGAATTAGGTATCAAATGGCGAAAGGGTAAAATATTCGCGACTCACCTAACGGATCTGAGAAACGAGGAAGAGATCACCGCTGAAAATGCCGGCTTAAGCGCTGAGATAGAGAGAGAGAGAGTATCGGCGAGAGGACGGAAGAAGCAGAGAGAGAAAATGCGATCTCAAAAGAAAAACAAAAGGAGAAAACTTTGATGAGTTTGGCGATGAAAAGAAGAGAACTAGGGGCGCTTGTGTGGGTCCTGCTTTTGATATCCAGTCCACTCATGTTTTAGAAACCGACCAGACATCGATTAGTTTGCAATTTACGATGATTGATTGATACTAATAAATCTGCTGCTATGATTTTCCGAATCAATTCAAATCACTTTTGAACTTGCTACCTTTTTTATCTTCTTCTTTTTCTACATATGACATTTTCTTTTTTATCATCTGATAGATTAAGATTAGTTCAAACAGCATTTTACACAAAGAGCCAGCCAGGTAATAAATATCACCCTGAATCAAAGTTAGTGAGGTAACAAGTATCACCCAGAGTCAAAAAAATAAACATAACATGCACCCTTAAAGTTAACAAGGACAAAGAAAAAAATCGAAAAGCATGATAAAGATGCAGATATTAAGGAGTAATGCTCAATCTTGTACTCAAAGGCGAGCTCAGCTAACGAGAACTCATCATCAATTAACACCGGTTGAGAAGAGCAGCGAGATAAACTAGAAACACACGAACATCACCATCACATAAACTGAATCAAGAGAGGTTAGAATACTTAACCGTAGCTGTACACACCCTTCAATCCCAACTAAGTCTAGCCATTGGACTTTGAGAAGGCTCACCTCGCGCCTCATACACACCATCACACCACACGGCAAAGCCTATAAAAGCTTCCCAGACATGTCTTATTCACACAGCCGGTAACTGGATAAAAACCACTCCAAATCCAAAACTAATACTATCCAAAAGGCGGCAATCGATCAGCAAAAAAACATTAGCTCCAAATTACAACTATCTCTAACCTTCCTCTCAAAACTAAGAGAGAACACGCAAAAAGCTCTGACCATCAGAGATCAACGACGAACAAAGGCAACACTTCCAAGCCTAACCAAGACGCCAAGCAACACCCGCAGCTAAACTTCAAGCACACCTCCAACAACGAAAAGCCTTCGCCAAAACGTCACACCAGATGAAGAATCGAAGGAGAGAGCACGACCCAACCACCACGCGCCTTCACAGCCTCAACGACGAACATATCTAGAAAAGGGGAAATCGAGATCTGCCAAGCCAAATCTTAAAAGCCGACTCCTTTCCTCAGTCAGCATAGCCATCTCGTTGAAACTCCAGAGAAAGCACCCCTACCACCGAATCTATCTCCCAACGAAGTAGATCTAGGGTTCCGGCGATTGGGAATCAGCCAAAGCTTCAGACATATCGACAACCAAGAGAGAGACTAAGGAAGAGAAGCAAAGAGGAAACAAGCACATATGAGAGAAATTCCAACCGACGCCGGAGCCCTAAGGCCAAGCGCCGATGAAGGGATGTATCGTCTTTTTTGTCTCGAGTCTTTTCCAGAGATATCTAAAAAACTGTTATGAAGATCAAATTTCTACATATGACATTGGAGGAGGACATTTAATCAAGGAAAATCAGAAAAACAAAGTTAGCAACTACACTATAAATATCACTAAATATGATGGAGTACATCTTAAATATTAGAATATGGAGAAAACAACCATTGCTTACCCACCCGCGTCTCATGATTAGAGATGCAAAGTATGACAAACTTTAATACCAACAGCTTACCAAACAAGTCTTCTAGACAAAAAAATGTGATTGTAAATGTTAGTACCAACGGCTTGCAAAAAAAGTCTTTTAACTTATTGAAAAATGTATTCACTACATTAGTACCGACAATTTAGACAAGACTATGAATTAATTTTTAACTTTGTCGTATGGAAATACCAATACGACCATCGGCTTAAAAGGTCTAAGTGAAAAAGGTTCATTACGTTCCTACTTCCCACGGCTTATGAAAAGCCTTAGGCAATGACTGTGAAATTGATAACAAATTTATTTGAACTGAGTTTGGTGATAAACGAGTGAAATAATCGACGAAACTCGTCAGTGGATTATTACAAAAGTATGAACAAATCGGATGCAAGTAAGAAGAGTTTATTTATAATTGGAAGAGAATATAAGGGGAAAATTTGGTGCTCAGAGAGCTAGCCGGAAGTGTGCGGACTGATCTGAGAACAACAACATGAGTAAAACCCCTAGTTTAGTTGCCGCCTAGTCAGTCTATTTTCGGATCCCTCTTAAGTTGTGCTTCTCTTCACTTTTATAGGTCGATGTACAGACAACCTTAATGGGCTATGTCCTTCGCTTCGTGGGATTTTGAGTAGACCAGCTCTTCTTGCTCGGTACAGACGAGCCGCGCTGTTCGCCTCCGAGTTTTTCTGTCGACTTGTAGGTAGTGCCTTCTTCCAGCTATTCGGACCGAGTGATGGGTTGTGTTATTTGTTCGATGGGCCTTGAACGGAGGATGAAATCCGTCTCTTACAATAAGTCCCCTCACCCCCCAGTTCATTATGACCACTACATGTGCTTGATGAATTGTTTTGGATTAGTCGGGAGAAAAAAAGAGTCGGCCCTAACGATCCAGTTCTCTCTCGTCGGGAGGCCGGTTAAGTCTAACCGGATTTGGTTTGATTCGGCTCATAAGAACTCCGATTTCATAGAGAAGCGGAAGAGACGCGGACTGGTTAAAGGATATTGGGCGGCGAATGTGCCTAATAGGCTTTGTAAACCTAATGATGGCTTCTTTGTCGAAACACGCGTCCCTCTCCCTATAAATACTTATTATTCCTCTCATTTATCTATTTTCTCTGCTTCCTACATGTACTTCCTCTCTCTAGTTTCTCTCTCTTTTTCGTCTTCTAGTTAGGGTTTCGTTGATGTCCTCAGGTAGAGGCTTGACGGCAGCAGATAAGGGTAAATCCATAGCGACCAGTTCAACGGTTTGGGGAGCGCATGTTCGGGATAACCATCACATAATCAAATCCGAGGTAGCGCACCAAGAAGCTTTGCGAGACCTCGAGGGATTAGATCTGTCGCAACAACTCCTCGTCATGGTTGATTCTAAGAGATTGCTACGAGAGGAGGAAAACGCAAGGGCATCATCAATTGATCGGGTTCTCGACTTAGCTGTCGGAGAGAGTTCGAACGGATCTCGACTGAGGGACCCAACAGGTAATACCCTCCCTTCGGTCGATGAACCGATGATTCCAATCCGCTTTTCCCTAAAGGTTGTTCGAGAAACTGCCAGCTATCCGCCCTGAGTTTTCCCGTCGACTGACCGTAGAGGGACATGATTGGGAGAATGTGTTTTCGACTTGATCGACAGTCGGGAGCGTTAAACAACTTCTGAGGGAGTGAGGTGGCACAAAAGTCACGTTCATCATCCCGAGCACCAACCAGAGGCCGTGGACCCCTCTGATCGGATATCAGTGTATCTACTAGTCTTATTTCAGAAGACACCAAATTATGGTTTTCAATTCCGCGGTTGATCACTGCTTATTGTTTCCGTCGGGATGCCGCGATTTCTCAGTTCATTAATGGGTCTTTTCGGATTGCGGTTGGACTTATGGTACTAGCCGCCGAGAGAGATATCTCGATGAGTGTTCGGGTCATCGAGGAACTCACGACAGCATCAAATATGAAGAACAGCTTGTTCTCTATGAAGATGTGACCAAGCATGGGAATTTTACTCAGCCCCCCGAACAAGATCGACGACTGGCAACGTTGGTATTTTTACGTGAAGACGGACGATAGCACCTTCAAAGAGCCTCCGAGAGAAAACTATAGGGTTTTATGGAGCCTGAGCTTTGGTAGACAGCTTCGCATACTTGTTTTGTTAGTTCTGAATCTAACACTTTATTCTTGTTTTTCGCTTTTTTTTTTACAGTTTCGCATTCCAACACTGGGAATTACCCCGAGGAGTTTCTAAAGGTCGTCCGGAGACTCGCGCGTACTACTCCACTTCGTTGGACGACCGCTTCGTACTCGAGGATCAGTCGATTGCAGCCTTGCATAACACAAGGTACCATCTCGTTTTTGTTCTCAGATTCCTTTTGATGTTTGATGGTTCAAACTCGGAAATACTGAGATATTCTTGTCGTTTCAGCTGACTGGAGATCTGACCTCCGTGCTGAAGTGAGTGGTCGCGGCAGATTGTCCATTTTTCCCAAGGAAACTTCTTCTTAGAAGAGGAAAAAGAGAAAAAAGAACATGAAGGCAATTTCGAGCCTTAATGCCATCATAGCCAGCGAGATCAAGGCGGTAGGTCCTTCTGAGACGCGCAATGATCCCGGGGGAGATGGGGGGGGGGGGTCATCCCCGAGCAGGTGATGGCGATGTGCCTGCTCGGAATAATGACGATGATGGGTTATCGGAGGAACAGTCTTAACCTCTGTTACGGAAGAGAAAGAGAACGGGTCCTAGTTTATCCGATGAACAGACTGCCGACGGGGTCAAAGCTGATCTTCTGGAAGAACAACTTGCTGATAAGGAAAATATTTAACCTTTCGAGCATGGTTCCGATGGTGCTCCAACTTCTGATTCCCATCCCCCAAAGAAAAAGAGGACGGAGATTGGGGTAAGTAACTATTCCAAACATGCTCCGGGTCCCGGTGTTGAAGATGAAGGTGGGGATGAAGACGAGGAGGACACGACTGAAGCTCCTCTCTCCTTAGAGGAAGAGGAAGAAGAAGAAGAAGAAGAAGAAGAAGAAGAAGAAGAAGAAGAAGAAGAAGAAGAAGAAGAAGAAGAAGAAGAAGAAGAAGAAGAAGAAGAAGAAGAAGAAGAAGAAGAAGAAGAAGAAGAAGAATACCAAGCCTTCTGGGCCGGGTGGTTCTTCTCTTTGAGAGTTGGGTGAGGAGAAGATCTTCAAGGAGAAGGATCAGTTCCCGAGGATGACACTGATCCGATTCCCGATGATACTGCTGCCATTTTCGTTCAAGAAGATGATGCGACCATCGTAAACACTGTGATCCCCGAGACCGCAAAGCGGGCCGTTGAAAAGGGGGAAGTGAGGCTTCCACACTGCACATGGAAGGATTTCATTGACCAAGTCGACTTTCATCACATCAGTGTGTACCCTCTTTGCACTGACCCGAACAAATGCGCAGAACTTTTTCGCCAGATCTGCGGCGGTCCGCGAGAGATGCCACGGATTGGAATCACCGGTTCATCGACCGAAGGGAGGG